CTCGTTTTCTTTTCTTCGATCTTCTTAACCTTCTGCCGCTAGGTATCTCACTATCGATTGAAGATACATACTACTTATACCTGTCGGTATCAGTAGCACACACAACGATGTGAATGCAAGAATTAGCAAGGATATTCCTCAGGCTGCACATAAATCACTAGCCAATATAAGTGTACAATTCTGCTTATCAAAACTTTCATCTAGGTTTATCTTTTTTTTACAAATATAGTGGTTCCCATTATCAGTGAATTAACAATTTAAGGAAATAACGTTCCAATCAGCGCTAACATTTTACCTTATCTTCAATGACAATACTGATGTAGTGAACGAGAACACAAATGAGGATAGTCGAATGTACTTGAACACAACATTACAGAACATTCTAGTAATATCTGGGAATCATATAGTAAATACTTAATTTTCAAAGTATCAATCACTTGTCTCAAACTTGGCTGTTCCTTTTGTATATATATCAGTCGTCTCAGATTTCATTATTCTTTTATTTCCACATCAATCATTCTTTGTTCTAGTTCTCTTTTCTTCGATCTTCTTAACCTTCTACTGCCCGACATTTCACTTTTAATTGATGACACATATTACTTATACCTGTCGACATTAGTAGTACACATCACACTACTAATGATAATTCATAATAAAAATAATATCAACTATTGGATGTTCTGCAGTATTAAGAAATTCTTAGAACAATATATAAACCTAAATAACATTAATCATAATATTGACAATATAAATGATTAAACATAATGAAATGTAACTTATTTAATAATGTCATTATGTACTTCATATAAACTTTCTCGTATGCTGACACTTATGTACTCAAATTGAGAAATATAAACAACGTTACATATACATGTGACCAAAATACCAATGTATTTTAAACTTGTAACGCAGAAGCACCAGAGGTATAACATCAATCGGTCCATGATCTCAATCAAAAACTTAATAATCACCACAAACCTCATACTGATAATAATTACCATGAGTTCACTAGTGACTAGCTTCGTGAGAGAATTCTCGGAGTTCTAGTGAGAAGACATGATCAGTGGAGCTAGTCCGTGTTGGGTAGAAACAAGTATCTACCTCAGTACAATGGAAGATGGTCACGCAATTAGGTGGATTGTTTGATGTTGGACATTAACGCCATTGGATGCTGATTGGCTCAGTGGTCTAGGGGTTAAGCGCTCGCGTGCGAGACTGAAGGCCTTGAGTTCGAATCCTGCGATCGGGATCGTGTATGCGCACTGCCGAGGAGTCCCACAATAGAACGAAATGTTCGTTCAGTGCTTCCATGTTCTTAATATTGTTCCAACATCAATCGGTTCATGATCTCAATGAAGAACATATTAATAATTTCAACAACCCTATACTGGTAACTTATCATTCATCATACTTTATGAATGAATTGTATAATTCATCACCACACTATATCTATAGATCAATCAATCAATTATTTTAGGTCTGAAAAAACTTCACCTGGTTAACCATCTAGTTATGGCATATGAATTATTACATAATATTAGTTTATGTACTGTACAAAGTACCACTTAATACATATCACTTAACCAATTGATAGAATAAAAACATTATCTTAAACTATCCAATTTAATTGAGACTTTTAACTGATAAATCAATGCAGGGATAACAATTTTTCGAAAAAAAAGGATTCGTTCATTTTTGTGGAATAATAAGATCCAACGTATTTAGCTGCTTGTGTAAATGGATACGTGAGTTAAGACTAATGGAATCAAATTACTAGATAGTTTAATCCCAGTTTCTTTCATTAAAGTACAACCAGTCAGTGAATTATGATTGATTTGTTTTATAATGTAATTCATAAATGAATTCGTCAAGACTATAATTTATGAACGAACCAATCATGTATAAGATAATAGGTCTTGGATTTTGATACGAAATTCATTAAACCATTTGGCTAAATAGAGTTTCGACATTATAGCTGATGTCAGTTCGTGAAGAAAACCCTAAATCTATTTCTTAACATTAAATATCAACTGTAAATCAGAATTCGAATTTCTCACACTAATTTATGACCACCATTTACTCCTAGTTACTAAGTGGACTTTCTCAAGGCCACTTTAGCATCGCTCAAAGGTCATCCATAAATTAAAGTCCCACCAGTAATTCAATTGATGAAAATGTATAGAAGTGTTCAATTGCTTGTTAGTTTTGTACTGTCTTAAAGAGACTGTTAGTATGCATGTGGGAATATTAAATAAATAGGAAATCATCTCGAGGAATAGTGAATACAATAAATATTTATAAAGTTCTATAAATGTTCTGATTCTATGATTTCTATAAAAATGTTAATCGTTTTGTAGTGAACAAGAACTCATATGGGGTAAATCAATTTATATCAGTCAGCATAAATAGCATACACCACACCCATCCTCTTTTTAAACTATCGCTCCTGAAGTTGTTCTGTTCGCTCTGCTACTTTTTTCTTTGCCGCAGTCTATACCATGCTCCCCGTCGGAATGTTAAGTTCACCAGCGCGCTGGCATCTGTACCTCTGTCAACCTGCCAGACCACCTAAATCCGATGTTCACTCAGCATCCGAGACAACCTACGTTTTCCCCTTATCGACAGTGACTACTACATCCAACACTCCACTTGATGTCTTCTTCCTGGGTCAGACCGTACCAACTAGCGACTCCTCTCCAGGTCCTGCTAAAACGCCTTCCAAATAATCCCCTTCTTTCCATTTCTCCTTAGGCGGTGACATCAAATGTAGTGAACGAGAACTCTGGTGTGTGCTATTTACGCTGATAGATACAAATTGGTTTTCCTCTCCTTAGTTTCATGCAACAATTGAAAAAATACCAAAAATAATTAACCTACTCTTATTGATTTGTGATTGTTATTAAATTCGCCTCATCTATTACACTGTAAATACAAACTAGTTAGAAAAGAAGCAACTACTCACCGATGAGATTGTTTAAGGATTATTTTTTGACTGTAAACTGAATGAAACCATAAAATACAAACTACTAACATCTGATTTATTTTCTCAGTGATATCATTCTCACTTCAACATTTACGGGTTTATCTTTCAATCTTCTATTCGATATGTCTATCCATTAATGCAAAATTGTAAGCTTTTACTATATGATAGTTCACTACTCTATGCATCAAGTAATCTGCAACTGATATCAATTCTTAATAAATCTATTACTAAGGCAAACAAATACATAAAAATCCCTTTCAACTAGATTGAAGATCAATTCTATTTTCCTTTATTTAACTTACGTAACCCATAGTAACACACATACATGTATAATAGAGTAAGTTAAAATTTAATATCATTAAGGCATAATAAGTAAGTATTCTAATCTTTTACAATTTGAATGCATGTTTAAAATAAATGAGATTTATCAATTGATTTTTCCAACTTATTAACCAATGAAATAAGAAGACGAATTTCTTTGTATATCCTCAAGAAGTGTGGATTTTACATGTGTATGTACATACTAGACTACATTTCTTAATAATAATAAGACGTAATATTATTCCATAAAGCCGCTTATTGTTAGCAATAAACAGGTAACCTTATTCAAGATAGTCTATTCTGAACAAACAGATAATGCTAGACTACCATTGAAAAACTGGAAGCACTGGACGGCCGTTTCGGCATGGTATGGGACTCTTCAGCAATGCTCATCGACAATCCCGCACGTGGGAATCGGACCAAGGACCTTCGGTCTCGCATGCTAATGCTTAATCCTTAGACCACTGAGCCGGCATCCAATAGTGTTAATATCTAACTTCAATCGATCCATGATCTTGCTCAACCCTTTGAAGTGCTGGCTTAGTAGTCTAGAGGTTAAGTGTCCATGCGCGAGACCGAAGGTCCTGGATTCCAGTCTCACGCTCGGGAACGTGGATGTGCATCTCTAAGGAGTTCCATACTGTGACGAAACGGCCGTCCAATGCTTCCAGGTTTTTAATAGTGGATTAATTTAGATGGACTCATAAATTCAGCTAATTTGAATAACATAACTCTTGCAATAAGAAGTCCACACTTTGTGCCTTTCTTAGATGTGGGAAATCAATCTATACGTCGCACAGCAAATGCAATATTTGTAAATATATACTAGCTCATAGATATTGCATTTAATGTCATATATATAAAGATATATTCTAGGGTTTATTATTATAATCATTAAAGATATGAATTTAAGTGAGATTAAGCTTATAACAATTTGATTTGCGATTTTTTCAAATAACTGATAATAACTTGATAGTTTTTTTTCAACAAGACTGTTACACACCAACATTAATTGCTTGAAGGAAATCAGCAGACGTTTTAAAACCTTATTAATATCTGGTTGATGCTTTCTAGCAAAATGCATTTATGATCCTGAAGAAACTTGTTCATCTTAAGGAATTCGAATCCATGTTGCATAACATCAAAAAAGTGACGGTACAAGAGAATTACTCAGATCTTCATAGATCGTTGTTTCTAGTTGCGACTGAAAATTTAAAATTCTTGACATTACTCACGCCGTTAGTGCAAGATGTCATATTATGGCTTCCTTGTGTTATATTTAAACGAAAATATAAATCATTATAAGCAAAGATAGATGGTGGCTAGCACTGGAATACAGAAAGCACGTTTCACTTTACTTAGAACTCGTCATTTGGATGTACCTATATCCCAGAATTGATGTCCCGGAGTAAACATCAACCTTGGGATGAAGTACATCCACCTAACGAGTCCCAAATAGGACGAAACACACATCAAACTAAATTTCACTACTAACCACTATCCACCTTTGCCTATAAAGCTTGTGATTTAAAGCGATATCAAGGCGATCCGCACAGTATGCACATATACTAACAAGAGACTGATCAATTACAGTCCTAAACATCAATGAGACGATTCAAGTAAACAATACCAAGTGAATCCAAGTTATAAATCATAAATAAGTATTAAACACATTGAAAAAAGACACTAATCTCACCTTTTATATTCACATATATGAATGTATACAATATTATCTACAGACATTACTCATTATAATTCATGTAAAGATGTTTTAAAATCTTCTGACCATTGACTGTTATCTTCAATAACTAATGTATGCGGTTTTCTGACAGAACAAGCTAATGGTGGTCTACCATGACCTAATTTTCTTTTATTTTTACGATAATTAATAACTGGTGATTTTTTTATTTCACGCAATGGTGCTGGTGATGATTGTCTACTAGAAAGACGATTTCTTGAATTATACATATGTTTATATTCTCTTTCTTTATGTTCATTCATTTCTGTTGTATTCACAGCAGTTGATGAAGATGATAATGATGATGAAATGAATGGTGGAATTAATGTTTGTGAAGATGATTTTTTTATTTCTTTATCATGATAAAGTAATGGAAGATTGATTAATTGATTATTCTTTCGATTTCTATATGGAATTGATGTTAGTTGTTGATTAGATTCAATTGAAAGACCATTTAATGAATCATTTAAATTACGTTTAGTATTTTGTAAATCTAATCTATTAGCTAATGATACTCTTCCATTATGATAACCATTACTATTATTACTATTATTATTATTATTATTATTATTATTATTATTATTGTTTAAGCCATTCCTTAGCGATCCATTCCACATACTACTTGAATATGATATTGATCGACCTAATAAAAATTGTTGACTATGATTATTATTAGTAGTTTTATAAGTAGATATTGGTAAAAATGTATTAAAATATTGTGAATTAAATGAAGAAGAATTATTAGGAAATGAATTATGACGTTGATTTAATTTCAGTTGAGATCCAAATAAATATGAACCTGATCTAGTTGATATTAATAATGGATAATTATTATCATTATTCGTTGTATAGTTACTATGACGACCAGTCATATAATCTTGATAAAATTGATTTTTTGAATGTTTTCGAATTCTTTTTCGTATCCATAATACTAATATAATAAAACAAATAATTAATATAATATTTAATATAGTTAATAGAATTAATCCATTTGTTAAATATTCCATTGATATACCATCTTTATCTTGATTGAATACTATTGAAATGGTTTTATTATAATTTGATTTTTGATCTAAAATATTCATTTCTTTATGATTAGGTGACCAAATATTTGATTGATTCATTGAATAATCAATTGGATACATTTTGGTAGTATTCATTTTTAATATTGATTTTAAAACGTTTGTAGTTTTGTTTAGTTTTATCATGAGATCTGTTTGATTTTCAATAGTAGTAGTAGTAGTAGTAGTAGTAGAAGTAGAAGTCGTAGACAGGGGAGTAATAGTGGAACGTATAGATGTCGTCATTAATGGTGTGTTAATAGTTGTTGTCGTTAACGACGTTCTAGAAGTACTGTTTACTGTTGTCGCTGTTGTTGTTGTTGCGTTTATAGTTGTAGGTATTATAGCCATTGATGTAGTTGTAGTTTGTATTTCTGTTGTCTGTTGTAAAGTAGTCTTACTTACCTCAATATCTCTTGCTGGTTTATCATTATATGATTGTAAACATTGACTAGAATAGTTCATTTTTAAATCTCTAATAAGGTTTGTTTGATTAGGATTAAGTAAACATTGGTTATCATATAATATTTGCATACCAGTCTCTTGTTTTACTGACTGGGGTGAATTGATTAATGACTTAGGTGAGATCAAATAAGATGGTCTAAAGGACTTCGACAGTTTCTCAGGGTTGTCAGTCGATTGTTTTACATCACAAATAGGATATTTACTGTGCCAGTGCCAACAAATATAGAGATCGGGACAGTGCGTAAGACGTAGTTGCCAACTTTTCCATGGGAACCATAAACGTCTAAACGAAGGGTTTTGATTTTCATAGTCACAAAACAAAGAAAGACGAAAATAAGGCGGACCTTCGACTAAATAACCTGCATTATTTGATGATTCCGATGTTTTATTTGTATTAGGTATAAAACTATCTTCATCCCAATTGAAAGGGTTCCATAAACTTAAGTGTGTTACACGTGATTTTGTTGCTAGATTGCCTAAATCGTTTCGTCCAAGACGTTTGAAATAAATAAATGAAATTGTCAAATGAACAGGACTTAAAGGCATTTTCAAACTTAGTCGAACTGTTTCAATAATCCAATTTAATACTCCTGGTTTTAAATGACTAATTCGTAATCTTGAAGCACTATTTGACTTTGAAGATAAATCATCAGCGCTTATTGTAGATGGTTTTAACACAATCCGTAAATCATACCCTTTTCCATGCTGTTTAGATTGACGCTGTTGATTAGAATCTGCACCTGGTGACGGTACATGCCAATAATGGCAATCAATCATTGTATCTTCATTAGTAACTTCAAACGATTGACTTTTACAATCAAATGTTAATTCATCTGTAGGAGATAAACGCTTTGCATAACAATAAACATCTGGACATAATGATTCACCAACATCAAAAATTGAATAATTAAATTCATTTCCAACAGTTGATTTGTCAAAATATTTAGATTTATCAATTGATTGATTGGAATTTCTTCTTTTAACAGAAATTGATTCTGTATGATATACATTTTTTTGTGTTATTTGTTCTTTGATAGGAAACTTTAATGGTTTATTTTCTATATCTATATCATCTATTATTAAAGGAAATGTTAAACTATCAATAATGGTAGGTGAATCAATTTGATTCAATTCATTTTGAGCATTTACACTTAACAGTGTCATAACAATTACATTGATTAAACATCTATGAATATACATTTCAATCAATGGTAGTCATATTATTTGTAACATGTTTATTCCAATCTTTCATAATATCCCAATGTGTAAATATTCTCCTAAAAAGAAAGATAATTCCAAATAAGTTAATCATCTACATTTATTTCAATGTTATATATCATAGAAAGGTAATTCATTTAATCAACTACAGCTGTATACAATGACCACGTGTCCATTTGGTTTAAACTTATATCTCCATTTTCATTGGTCAGCCTGTCGACTTATTTCTGATTGGTTAATTGAGTTAGCCAATCGCTATCATACGACCACATGTTTACATACGTAATTAACCATTAATGTTGAAGATGTTATATTGAAATCTTTGATTTCTGTCATATGTGAATTAATATGCATACATTCTTCATTTTAAATGCTTCGTTTACAACTTACCAAACTAAGTAAGTGATCAGATCTAAGTATATTTTAGGTAGGTACATGTCTTACTGTGACATTTAAGAATTTCTTTTCGTCTTAAGTGTAAACAATGAAATTTAGATGATATTACATTCATCTGATGAGTACCAAATAGAACGAGATATGCGTTCTAGATTCAATCGCTATGCGTATATGTGATATAACGCTCTATCGATTCAGTCAGCTCAAGATATGCATATGACAACAAAGACGGACTACACGGAATCATAATTAACAACAACTGGAAATTATAAGCTCATACTTATAAATCAGTAATTATTTGGTGACATTTTTCAGGAAAACAAATAGTGAATGGCTGAAAATCTTTGCAAAAGCTATACTGTTTAACTGAAATACAATAATACTCAGTTTTAAAATCATTGTCTGAATACCAAAGTTAAATCTGGTTGAATAGGTTGACGTGCTAAATCAAATCACTTCAGGAATGAAACAATTACTCTCTAGTGAGATGTATTGTGAATAGAATGAAACTTACAAAATTCTAGACTATTAGATCCTATCTCCTTGGTTAACTGATATTATCCTGATTGAGGTATGAAAATGGAACTTATCAAAATGTAGCCAGTTGTCTACCCCCCCCCCTTAGTTTTTATTATGCTCTACTAGATATCATTAGGTAATAAAAATTACGTACAAATATGTGAAGTTTTGTGGATGAAAAGTATGAAATTAAACTAATCTCGTAGCACTTGAAAAGACAAGGAGGTGAAAATATGCAGAATATAACTGTTGATGACAATTTAAACAAGTTGAAAATCTAACCTAAATCACTAAATAAATACATTGGCTAAAAGGAATTACGTTTACATAATCCTAAACTTCACTTCATTTGAACTATTTTCTTCGAAATTGTAGAGTGTTATTTCATTTTCTATTTGCGTCACACATGAATTCATCATTCGTATACTGCTTGTATAAATAAATTAACCAGTTACTGTAATATTCAAACTGATGTTGTTTAGATTCTATATAGCCTCCACTGAAAAGTTAGATACTCGACTCTTTCTACGGGAAAATTTGAATTCGAATGGCTGTATTGGATACAGTTTCAATCATAATTATGAAGTACATAAATGCCCAAACGAATATCACCACTAGGCCATACGGTCCAAAGAGTTACTCAAAAATAGGTTGATTTAGTCGAATTTGTCTATGACCAAACAGTGATGTTTCAATAAAGGAACATCTACAGTGAATATATCAGTTTACTTCAGAGAAAGAATGATCACAGTCTTTAATAATAACACACATTTCTATTAAATAAGCGCAAAGTCGGTGACGTGAATCTCATGAGAATCAAAATTGTAGTGAATATACAACGATAAATGTACCAAAACCGTTAACTCTGCATTTTAGGGAAGCTAACAAGTTACCGTCACACATGCGTAAGGACTTCCACATACATTTATAAAAGATGGATCTTGTGATCACAGGATTCATCAGCAAACTTACGCTAAAACACTCAGAGTTCAACCAACGTTATTCAAATAATCTAAATCACAGATTTCTTTCGTTTTGATGACACACCATATGATTAATCAAAGCAGTTACTGATATCTTTTGCGAATTTTATTGGTTTATACTATACTCCTCCTTTATGCAGTGTATATTTGGATACTATCGTGAACTAAGGTAAATACATTCCATTTGAGATTTTAAAAGCTATTACAGTAACATCGCTTTTTGTTCATACATGACTTGATCAAATTGTAATAACAAATATCAAGTTCTCTAATTCTGATTATTAACCAATTTTCATTTGTTTTAAGCTACAATATGGCTTATGGTGTCACGATGATCTTACATTGCAGTTAATTGGTTGAAGGATTCCACTCCATTCACATATCAAGTATTTTAGTTATAACACAAACTAGGACAAGCTCATTCTAAACAATGATACATATATCATTCGTAAGTAGAATGTATGGTCAATTCTATTACACCATCTTAGAGAAGCTAGTACATGGATTTTCACAGTCAATGCATATTTCCACTCAGTGATCATCTCAATTGTTAAATTATATTCCTAGTTGATATTATCATAAATGTTAATAATTATAACTTCAGTTTTATTGAAATAATCTTATGTTTACAAATGAGATTCTTTTTACAGAAGAACCTATTCTCATCAGAGAGGGGTTTTGTGGATATTATAGTAATCTAATTGTTGAATTCATGATTCAATTGAAGTTAGATCATCATGGAAAACCCAGAAGCACTGGACGGCCGTTTCGTTCCGTTGTGGGACACCTCAGCAGTGCAAATCCATGATCCCGAAGCCAGGACCCATAAGTCTCGAATGCGAACGCTTAATCTCTAGACCACTGAGCCGGCCGGCATCCTGGAGTGTTAATGTCTAACTTCAACCAATTCACGAAGTTGCGCCCCCATCCACCATTGTCTTCAATGAGATACTATCTCACAACAGACGCAGTTAAACTCCTGTGGTCACTGCTTTTCACTAGAACTCTAGGAAATACCTCTTGGAGACCGTCACTAGTAAGTATATGATGATTATAATCTGCTACGTCCCAATAAGCATAATGAATGGTAACTTTTGAGATCCATTTATGAACCAATACTATACATATATTTTCTATTGTATCATTGTTAAGTAACTAAACTAGTCACATTCGTGTTTCTCTTATTATAAGCTTTATTTGGACCTGTAGACTATTATTATACGATTTACCATTCTTGAATTATGTCCTGTCTATTAATTACTACCTCCTTCATTCACAGCCACATTTGGCTAATTCTTGTACAAATATTGTCTCATATTTCATGGTACGGTGTGGTCTGTCTGGTTGATATATAAACCGAGTATGTTTGAGATAAATGATTCATATCACAGTGGCTGAGATTGGTGTTCTGGACTTAAATGGTTGGGCTAGGCGGAAATTAGGAACGATAAGTACTGTAGACTGCTCTCACGGGTTTATACGTCACTAGTCCGACCGCTAATTCACTGCACTTTAATTGACGGTATCATGACGCTAAACATTAACAAGGCACACAGCCCACAAGTTATAACATGATCGGAAAAGTGTTTACTTGGATATTATATTATATTCTCAACAAAATATCATTTAAAGTTACATTAGTCACATATAGTTTCACCTGCATATATACTTTTAAACACACTATTCATTGAAAGCATCATTTGGCACTGTATTCAAAACAAAACAAAGAAGAAATCTGAAAAGTTTGATCTCATTATCATGATCCATCAATCATTTAAAATTGATCATTGGTCAATCACAAGGTTTACTTTATACTCATTTACTATGATGTACTTTATATTCATTTCAATAGGTTGTTAATTATTCAATGTCATTTAAGTTATATTATTGATGTCTACATTGAAAAATGAAATCTTCATCTAATTAATTCTTATTGATAACAATGATAATCAATAATCCATGTGATCAAAGCGAATGATTCCTTTTTTATTCAATATAGTACATGTTCAATTATTCAACTTTCATTGTTTTTACATAAAATGAAAAAATTAAACTGTTGTACTTTTACAATAATGAGTAGGTTTTAAAATAAGATATTTTGAACTTTAAAGATTAGAAACAAAGATGGATGGTGGTGAATAATGGAATTCATGAAGTGTGTTTCGTCTTATTTAGGACTCATCAGTTGGATGTAGCTATATCTTGGAATTAATGTTCACTTTAGGAATCGAATTCAGTACGGTTCGCTTCAAACGACATCGCGTTATCTACTTAGCTATTAAGTCATAGATTCTATTGCTAGCCACCATCCATCTTTACGTATAATGCTTGTGAATTAAGGTTATATCGAGTCAGTCTGTACAAGATGCACATTTGCCAATAAGAGACTGATCAATTGCAGTCCTAAAGAACAATGGGAAGATTCAAACAAACAATACAAAATGAATTACAAGATTATGTTATGTGGGACCTAGAATTTTTAAATTACTACCACTCTGAATATAAAACAAAGTTTATCGCTTATTTATAACAAATGCATTTCCTGTTAAATCTCTTAAATGCTAAGTCACAATCAGAAATTTTATAGCAATTTACGTGCAATTGAGTTTGTTCACATTTAATTTGGTTAAACCCTTTTATTAACTTATTTAACGGACAGAGTCATCCGTACTATAACAATTTACATCACTGTACCTTTATTATTGTTGTGCTGGTATGAAGTATGTATGCTTGAAAATTGCTTACTAACGATGCATATATTCATTCTGCTAGCTTAGTGTTAGCTGCTTAATTGATTGGATGATTAATTTCCCGGAATCCACAAAACTCATTTTGATATAAATATATATATATATATATATTTATATCAGAATGAGTTTTGTGGATTCCGGCTCAGTGGTTTAGTGGTTAAGTGCTCGCGCGCGAGGCCACTAGGTCCTGGGTTTGGATCTCGCGAAGTGGGGTCGTGGATGTGTACTGCTGATGAGTCTCACAACAGGACGAAACGGTCGTCCAGTGCTTCCAGGTTTTCCATGGTGGTCTAGCTTCAAATGACTCATGATCTCAGCTATTGAAATATATACA